TCGACTGCATGGATGGGATCGAGATTTTGGCCGGCAGTCTGCTGGACTCGACTCATGTTTCGGTAGCACTGGAGAGGGTCAATTTGACTAAAACCGGGTTGGAATCCAAGACACCTTCTTGGGATCAGACAGGGAAGGGGACCAGTCTCGAGAGGATAAGTGATGAGGAGATTGGACAAAGGAAGTCAAATACAAGCGATTCGATGGAGAATAAGGCGAGAAAGAAGACGCTTGACGAGGATAAAAGTCCCAGTCTCGTCGTCCTCCTGATAGCTCTATCCGGATTCCTTATGCTCATGATCATCTCACTCTTCCTACCAAAGCATGTGCAGGACCAGCTATTCCGCCTCTTACTTCGACAGAAACCGGACCAGTCTTTTAACTATATCGACGTGGGTCTTTATAAAACACGCCATTCGATGTACCGAAAGGAGATCTTCTCGGCCGTCATGCGTAAGAGGCATTTGCTTAAGCAGAAAGCGAACGCTACCGAGGCTCACTCGGTCGCGTTGGACAAACGCCGACGGACCGGCAGCGGAGAGGACAGCCACGAAAACAGCCTCTCCTCGCTTGCTTCTCCTCGAGCCAAGGCCTTTGGAGTCTCGAGTGAGTCAGAGCTGGGCATGGAAATGGAGGCGAAGCAATTAGGGTACAGCGATGCGACCGAGACTGGCAACGACAACTGTACCAAAAGCAGGCCTGATCGGATTCAAGTTGAGGAACCCGGGGACTGGCAGTTGCAGAGCATAGAAACTGCCTTCCCACAGCCGTCAGGGAATGAGGCTGGCTGCCCTCTATCCGGTATCGCCAATCCGTTGTGTGCCCAAGTAAGCATGGCTGACGGATAAAGTGAAAAGATTTTCTTATTTGCCCACGACCTCGCCAGAAGATCACGTGATTACTTGGCTTTGTATAACCTACCGGTTGAAGGGAAATTTATTATTTTCGTTTCCCAGATGCACGCTGATTAGCAACTTTGATTTGCTTGTGATAAACTTTGACTAACTAGCGTGTTCTTGTTGAGCTCATTACAATGTTGAGTGAAGGTGTGAGATGAAGTTATTCAAAGTTTAATCCCAACAGAAGACGACGGCGGATTCCTCTTGACCGTCTGTCGATTGGCTTTACTGGAACATTCATGCTGATGCTGTTTCCGAGGTAATCTACTTCGATTCCGGTGAAAAAGTGCTAAGCTCTCGTCCGTCACATGATGAACATCATCAGAGCAAAGTATCATCGTCACAATCAAATACAAGCTAACGAGTCAAGAAAACATATGACGGACGAAAGCTTAGCTATTCAACGGAATAGAAGCAAATTGCATCATAACGACTATTCCAGTAAAGCGAATCGGCAGCTGGTCAAGAGGAATCCGCCGTCGTCTGGTGGAATCGACCTTCGAATGACTTCACCAAACACTTTCATTCAAAATGAAAGTAAGCTTATCAAAGAGACTGTAGATGAAAAAGGGCAATATTAATTTGTATAT